GCCCCAATCCCGGCTGTACCTATGGCACCAACACCCGTCCCTACACTTCCCCCTCCAGCTCCTGCTCCAGTCATGTCGCCTTTCGTGTCACCAGCTCACTCCGTCCCAGACTCCATTAGGAAAGAAATCCTAGATGGGAAGGACGTGTGTCTGGTGTCATTACTTATTGCCTCCCAAGACGTACTGGAGAACAGGGCTTATAGTTTTGGCGATATCTTGGTGGTTCTTAAAACCAGAGACCCAAGGCTCAACAAAAAGTTGTCAATTCCCAATTTTGTGTTGGCCTTCGGGATATACCGGGATGTCATCTGCTCGGTATATCCCCACAGGAGAGAGGAACTGGACCTCTGTCTCCATAAAGTGGTGGATTTGGGCGTTAAGTACGGGGGCTCATCTTTTTACGATTATCATAAATCGATATCAGCGAAAGCGGCGCCATCTGAAACAGTTTAATGTAAGAATTAATTGGTGTCAGATGGATACAGAACTATTCTGTCGCCATTTCGCTGGTCTGAGGCCCCCGTCCTGCGCCTTATACAATTCCTCAACCCACTTGGCTGATTTGTGCCCGTCTATGGCTGACCCATCCACCCCCACTCCCACTCCTCAATCCTCTTCCACTCCTCACCTTAAACATGAAGGCGGACAGAGGGATAAACTGGGGAGGCCCATCTCCTTTTTAGGGAAGGCACAGGTGTGCAACAACTTCAATGCAGGTTCTTGCAGCTTCAGTGCTTGTAGATTGTTGCACATCTGCTCCATCTGCTTCAGGGCACACACTAAGACCATGTGTCCGGCCAGGTTGTCCCTTAACAAATGACTAACCGACGTTAATATCGACAACCTGGCTTTTTACCTTAAAGATCATCCAAGTAAACATCTGGTGGAGTATCTAATATCAGGGTTTACCCAGGAGTTTCTCACGGGTCTCGTGGCCATCCCCTCAGGGATACTGGAATGCCCTAATCTCCTATCAGCCTGTCTAGACCCGGAGGCCACGGACGTTCTCCTCTCCACAGAAATAACTCAAGGGTTCATGATCGGCCCCTTCACCTCCTCACCGTTTTCCTCCTGGCGCACTAACCCTATTGGTATAGCTGTACACAAATATTCTAATAAAAAACGTATGATTATTGATTTATCGGCACCGCACTCCTCTTCTGTTCCTAGCATTAACGCACTCATTCCCGCAGACGAATTTTCACTACAATACGTAAAAATAGATGACGTCATACAATCCATCATGTCAACTGGCAGCAACGCTTGGCTTAGCAAAACAGACATTACCAACGCATTGAAACTACTGCCCATGCACCCATCACTTTGGCACTTGCACGGTGTTAAATGGCAAAACAGGTACTATTTTTCCACGCGACTCACTTTCGGTTCCAGAAGCAGCCCCAAACTCTTTGATATTTTCGCAGAAACGCTATGCTGGCTGCTTCTGAACATTATTAGGTGTCACGCCGTCATTCACTACTTGGATGACTTCCTCATCATAGAACCAAGCACACGCACACCCACCGATGTCCTCAGCACTTCTGCACTTTTCTCCACCCTCGGGGTACCTTTGTCTCCAGCTAAAACAATTGGCCCCACCACTAAATTCACTTTCTTGGGCATAGAGCTAGATTCTACTACCTTCCGCGCCAGCCTTCCCACTGAAAAACTCGTCCGCCTGAGAGGGGAAATAGACATGTTCCTGCGGAGCGATGTATGCACCAGGAAAGAACTTCAGTCCTTATTGGGGTCCCTGAATTTCACGATGCGCATCGTTCCGCAGGGCAGATCTTTTGTGTCCAGGCTCCTTTGTCTGCTTCACAGGATACCGGACGCCTGCCCAATTGCGTTGGACCAGCACGCTAAAGCTGACCTAATCATGTGGGGGCAGTTTTTGTCCCTATGGAACGGTATCTCCATGTTTATTCCATCCCTCTCAGACTCCTCTCCCTGCATTTTCACTAACGCTGCAGCCAACACGGGTTTTGCAGCTATATTTGGTAATCGCTGGTTTAGGGGTCACTGGCCAGCTGAGACGGATGCCTTGCCGGGGTTTAGAGAAACTTCAGCTCTGTTTGAAATTTACCCCATTGTGGCAGCCGCACACACTTGGGGTCACCTCTGGTCCGGCAAGGCAATAAAGTGTTATTCCGACAGCTCGTCAGCTTGCGATATCATCAATAAAGGGCGCTCTTCCTCTCTTACCATTATGCGGCTGATTCGCAAGCTGACCTGGTTGGCAGCAACCGTCCAGTTTCACCTAATTTGCCTTCACATCCCGGGTATTCACAACACGGCTGCTGACGTTCTGTCTCGATCTCAATTTCAGGTGTTTTTCCAGGCACTCCCGTCAGTCCACCATCAACCATCCAGAACACCGAATTTTCACGAGCTAATCTTGGACTAAACACACTTATGCACCACGCTAGGACACTTACGCACCAAGCACTATCACCAAACACTGCTATGACCTACAGTAGGGCACTTACCATTTTCAACAAATTTACAGCTGAGTTCGGATTACAAGGTGATTTCTCAACCCAAACTATGGTGGCTTTTGCCTCTTTTTGCCATTTAAATTTAAAACTTTCCCACAACACCATTAAATTATACCTCATGGGGGTGCAGCACCACAGCCTCACAAATTTCCCTAACACCCCCTTTTTATCATCATACCCCATAAAGAAAATCTTAAAGGGGATCTCTAAAGTATCAGTTCCACCTATCACCACCAGACTACCTATAGATGGGCCTATCTTTAGATTACTGAGCAACCTCCTCGACGAATCCTCTTTTGATCTCAACACTAATTTGGTGATCAAATCTGCAATCTATTTGGCTTTTTATGGGTTCTTAAGACCTAGGGAATTTACTGTCGTTTGTCAAGGGGATACCACTCACAGCCTCAAAACCTCACAACTCACTAAAAAAGACGACTATTACATTCTCACAATCCCATCTACCAAAACAAATCAGTCCCTACACCCCACTATTATTCCTCTCTTTCCAACAGACAATGCTTGGTGTCCAGTTAAGACACTAGACATGTTACGGTCAGCTTATAGCACACACCTACCAGACTCACCACTATTACAACTACAAGGGCACCCACTCACTACAGCAAAATTCACCACGTATGTCAGAACCTTACTGGGAAAATTGGGTTACAACCTGTCACGTGCGTGGGCTATAGGCCCAGCCGAGACAGTGGGGGGAGTGTGGAAGTGACAGGGTTAATGACACCAGACCCCTGGTTACCTGTTGCTAGTCCCAGCAACCACTCAATTAACCCCTGCAATCCCTTCTACACTAACTCCCTTAGTACACTTGACTGCCACCACCAAGACTTTTAAACCCGGGCGTCTTAGGTTACCCCACACACAGGAGAATTATAGTATCACGTTCTACTTTTACTGATAAAACATATATAGTTAACCCTTTTTGGTAACGTGTTTACCTGAGCTTTCCTCTGGAGAGTGAAGCTCATAGAGAACAGAGACACAAGCTGATTAAGTAAACATTTAATCTGACAAAAAGGATTCACAGTGCTGAGTACAAAATACAGAAATAAATGACATACAGATAACAAATTGCAAAACAGTACATAAAATAAAATAGGAGAAAACACAAGAAATTCCTTACATATATTTACCCCATATAGAATTCTTGTGGGAGTCTTAGATGGTATAGGTCTCCTAGAAGTTACTGACCAAAAGAAAAATGAATAACTGACCTCCCTGGATAGTCCAACACCCTCATATATCTAAACTAGTTGTTTCTCAGTGGGCAGACCCCTGGGGGGAGATCAGAGGGGGCTGGTCTGGCAGTCTATTGCCCACTCGATGAAATTCCTTGTGTCCAGCTCTGGTGATGGCTATCTAGATGTTTTATGGTCTAGGCCTGGTGCCAGATCAAAGACCACAATAAATGTCATCCCAAGGTTTACAAAAAAATAACTCTTAACATATATAAACACACATCAAACACCAACTCATGCTTTTGGCATGACACCTCCCCCTTAAGATGGTGGACAGAAAAATGCAGCCACAGGCTGATTTATCTGTCTACCATTAACCCTCTAGTTGCTGAGACAGGCCATCTGCATTCCCATGCAAGCTGCCCTTTTTTTGCTGGGCAGTGAAATTATACTGTTGGAGGATAGGGCTCCAATGGAGCAGTTTATCAGTGTTACCTGTCACCTGCAGCAGGTTGTGATCAGTCCATACCACAGCTACATCCTCAAACATGCCTGATTTGCCTGTTTCAATTCCCCATCGATCTCTGGTAACATCCCTTAAACCACACCCACTGCGCTCATGTAGTAGTTGTAAGGGGAAGAAACCAATGGATTTCTGCAGCACTCCCCGGTAAGCACACAAAAAAGCAGACAGAGAACACTCCCAGGATAGATGTGCTGTATCAACACCCATCATCTCTTTTATTTTGCGGTCTGTCTGCTGGGCTTGTTGCACTATCAGACTCTGAACCTTTGGTTCACAATCAGAAAGTTGCTTAGGTGTATTCGTGAGTTGTGATAAACGGACAAGGTTCCTGGTTCCTCCAACAGTATGTTTCCCTGCAGCCATCCTTCCTGGACCCACAGGCTGAGTCTGTCCGTGCCCCTCACTTTCACTACAGGTCATCACACATACCGAACTTTGGAAACTGGCTAAGTCTGGCGCAGAGTAAAGCTCACACACCCTCTGCCCTCCCTCATAGCCTCGCTGTCCCTTCACATTTTCACCCAGTGCATCACATACATCTGCTTCAGGCACATATTGGCACATATATTCATTCAGCCCCCTCTCGCTGGAAGGCTTTTCCCATACATTTTCACAGGACACATTTGACCCCCCTTGATCAGATACAGAATTTTGCACACACTCACATAATTTCTTCTCCAGGGCAGGCCCTCCTCTCACAATCTCACATAGCACCTCAGACTCTGCAGCCATGACCCACTGCTGACTTGTTACCACTGCGACTAGTGGTACACATGCCTGGCTCTCACCTTCCTCCTCCCCCTTACTCTCTGACATCCCAGCCTCACAGTATTTTGATACAGGCACATCACTATACAGGCACATCACTATCTCACATTTGGTAGACATCACTGGTTCAGTTACAGGTAGATATTTATCCACACCCTGCTCTCCCTCCCAGCAATCACACTCCACAATGTCTCCCAAAGTTTCACACAATACCTTAGGTGGAGCAGTCAGCCCTTCTGGCTCACAAACAGTGTCCGCTGGAGCATAGTGACAGAGCATCCTGCCCAAATCATTCCCCAACAGAACATTAACAGGGATATCCTCTGAAATCCCCACTTCCCGCAAACCTTTGCCCGCACCCCAATCAAGGTACACACGTGCCAAGGGCACAGCGGGGCATACACCCCCAATTCCTTTGATGGACATGGTTCTTCCAGGGATTATGTCCTCCGTATTCACCACTTCAGGTCGCACCAGGGTGAAGGAAGCTCCAGAATCTCTCAGTCCCATGGTCACTCGGTCACCCACAATTACACTCTGCAGGTTATCCTCTTGTTTCCCCACGGACCCACCCACAAGCAATACTGATGGTGCCCCTCCACGGACTGGTGAGGGCATATTCCTAGTGGGGCAAGTCCTGCTCAGATGACCAATCTGGTTGCATCGAAAACAACGGCGGGCATCTGACTCACTTGACATAGCCCCGGCTACGCTGGCAGTCGGCGGTGAAGTTCTCACTGCAGATCTTACAGGTGGTGATTGAACTGTAGCTTCTCTCCAGGTCGAAGTAGCAGCTGACACAAGTCCACGCCTGGATGTGGGTGCATGGATGTCGGCATAGTCATCTGCCAGTTCTGCAGCAGCCCTAGCATTTTTTGGCTTTCTTTCCAAAATCCACTCTCGTACATTAGGGCTCCGGGTCTGCAAGAACTGCTCCAGGACCAGTAAGTCATTAAGGGCTTCATAGGTAGTAGCTTGTACTCCTGTTACCCATTGCCGGAACGTGGTTTCTAATTGTGCAACATATAGAATGCAGCTGGATGATGGGCATTGCTGCATACTCCTAAACTTTTTCCTGTAAGACTCAGGAGTAAGGTTAAAAGTTTTTTGCAATGCAGATTTGATTGCCTCATAGTTGTTATCAGTCTCTGGGGGAAGGGACACAAACACATCCAAGGCTTTCCCTTTCAATTGTGGAGTTAAATATCTGCCCCACTGGTCTGAGGGTAGTTGATGCTGCCGGCATACTTTCTCAAAACATTTTAAAAATACATCCAAATCTGTCCCTTCTTCGAGGGAAGGAAAATCATCCTTACGGAGCCTACGTGTGCTGGACTCTGATGCATTGCTGTTCAGTGAGGACTGAAGGGTAAATTGCAGTTTAGCAAGTTCCAGCTCATGTCTCCTTTGTGCCTCCCTTTCGGCTAGCCTCTCTGCAGATTCCCTTTCTGCAGCCTGCTGTTGGATCATCACATGCAGGGCCTCCTGAGGATTTGCAGCCATCAGTTGCCGAAATAAATCAGTTGAGCAAATGTCCTTAATGTTTTGAGGGGTACAACCACCAGGCATTTCAGTAAGCAACACTCCTGCAGTAGTAGGGAGCTCGGTAACCCTTTCAGTATCCGTCTCTGGCTGGAAAATATGGCTGTCAGCCTCCACAAGGTCAGCAATAAGTTGTGCCTTATTTTTGCCAAAAGTTGGTAAATTCTTTTCTTGGCACAACAATTCCAAGGCCTCTTTTGATTGTTTGCGATAGGCCTCCATATTCACAAATAGGATAGAGAAAGAAAAACAAAAGATGGGAGGGGAGAACTGTTTTGCACTTTGTATGTATTTTAAATCAGCACTGAGCTTTGGAAATTACACAAAAACAAGTATGCAATTTCTTTTAGTGCTAAGACCCCCTTTACAGGTAAAATCTAACAAGCACTAAAAATCTCTAAATATATCCCACTAGCTGCCGCCAGTTTGTCACGAGCGTGGGCTATAGGCCCAGCCGAGACAGTGGGGAGAGTGTGGAAGTGACAGGGTTAATGACACCAGACCCCTGGTTACCTGTTGCTAGTCCCAGCAACCACTCAATTAACCCCTGCAATCCCTTCTACACTAACCCCCTTAATACACTTTACTCTACTGCCACCACCAAGACTTTTAAACCCGGGCGTCTTAGGTTACCCCACACACAGGAGAATTATAGTATCACCGTTCTACTTTTACTGATAAAACATATATAGTTAACCCTTTTTGGTAACGTGTTTACCTGAGCTTTCCTCTGGAGAGTGAAGCTCATAGAGAACAGAGACACAAGCTGATTAAGTAAACATTTAATCTGACAAAAAGGATTCACAGTGCTGAGTACAAAATACAGAAATAAATGACATACAGAAAACAAATTGCAAAACAGTACATAAAATAAAATAGGAGAAAACACAAGAAATTCCTTACATATATTTACCCCATATAGAATTCTTGTGGGAGTCTTAGATGGTATAGGTCTCCTAGAAGTTACTGACAAAAAGAAAAATGAATAACTGACCTCCCTGGATAGTCCAACACCCTCATATATCTAAACTAGTTGTTTCTCAGTGGGCAGACCCCTGGGGGGGGGATCAGAGGGGGCTGGTCTGGCAGTCTATTGCCCACTCTATGAAATTCCTTGTGTCCAGCTCTGGTGATGGCTATCTAGATGTTTTATGGTCTAGGCCTGGTGCAAGATCAAAGACCACAATAAATGTCATCCCAAGGTTTACAAAAAAATAACTCTTAACATATATAAACACACATCAAACACCAACTCATGCTTTTGGCATGGCACAACCCAACTTCATTCTCTGGGCATTCCTTTCGTATAGGAGCCGCTTAATCAGCTTCTAGCACTAACACCCTGGTCCACATCATAAAGAGACTGGGCCGCTGGAAGTCCTCTATATACAATACGTATATTCCACGGCCAGAAAGAGAACTTCGCCAAGCCTTCAGGAATTTAGTCATGTAATCAAATGCAATAAAGTGTGTTTTTTCGAACTTCTCTTTGCCCTCTTTTATTTACAGGCCCACTCGGACGTTGGTTTCGGCACAACACAACCAACTTTTATCTCTGACATTATCCGTTACATATTAAATTCCGAGCACAAGTAGAATGGCCATTAGGCCTGAATTTGTGGGAGGAGTAAGTCCCCTACTTAAACACCCAGCCCCTACTCACCTCTGATGTTCGAGTTCAAGTGTTCCGCACCCACCGACACCCTTAGTACATACAATTCTCCTTGGTGGGCCCTCTTTTATTTACAGGCCCACTCGGACGTTGGTTTCGGCACACCACAACCAACTTTTATCTCTGACATTATCCATTACATATTAAATTCCGAGCACAAATATATATATATATAAAAAAATATATATATATATGAGAGGGAATACTTATATATAAAAAAAAGTATAATTAAAAATATAGGAAAAATAAGCCATCCAATCAAAGGTCATATGGTCTTAAAGAAAAAGGGTTAATACCCCCATTTTTTAAAAAGGGAAAAATTAAATAAGTGTGGCCTTCTCAAAGTCGACGTTGAGCCCGCAGGGAGATAGGGTGTCTAAATTAAAAATCCACCTCATCTCGCAGCGGTTAGAAGCCGACTCAAGGTGGCCACCTCTCCAGTATTAGTAATCAATTGGATATCAAAATTTTTTTTATTTGGAATGGTTCAGAGGATTTACTAAAAACATTTTTAGCTTTCTTAAATACAAATGATTGGGGAGTAAAACTAACCACGGAGTATAGCACAGAAAGTGTTAATTTTTTAGATCTCACAATTTTTATAGAAGACAATCGTATCAAGACAAAGACCTATTTTAAACAGGTAGATGTTAACAACTATATTTTTTTAAATAGTTGCCATTTTTCCCCTTGGTTGAGAAATATCCCAAAAGCACAATTAATGAGAATCCGCAGGAATTGTACAGATCAAAGCACTTTTAAAGTCCAAGCCAATAAAATTAAAAATCAATTTATGGAGAAGGGGTACATGGAAAATTCCCTTATAAATACTATAAAAGAAGTGGAAACCATGGAGAGATCCTCATTGTTAAAATATAAACCTAAAGAAAAAAACGAACAAAACACCTTACCTTTTATCTGCAATTTCAATCAAGAAAGCCATAGAATAAAACGAATTATAAATAGACACTGGCCTATATTAAGAAATGACCCAATGCTGTACTCAATATTGCCAGAAAAAACGAGATTTATATATAGAGGAGCTCCCAACTTGAAACAGAAATTAGTACGAAATCACATAAGACACCAAACATCTACTCCTTTCTTTCAGAATAAAGTTTTTTTTGGCTGTGGACAGTGTCTAGCATGTAGAAGTACAAAGAGTGTAAAAAGACACATCACAGAATTCCACGACTCTAAAAGAGAAAGGAAATATAAAATACACGAAATGACCACATGTTTCTCAAAAAGAGTCATATATTTATTGAAATGTTCTTGTAATCTCCTCTATGTAGGAAGAACGAAACGCCCTTTAAACATAAGAATAAACGAACATATACGCAATATAAGAAAAGGTTTTGAAAAACACAGCGTTTCAGATTATTTCAGACAAGTACATAACAAAGATCCGCAATTTCTAGATTTTTACGCTATTCAAAAAGTTACACTAAATTGGAGAGGGGAGGACGAAATAAGGAAGTTAGGTAAAATCGAAACTAAATGGATTTTTAATTTAAATACCTTAGCCCCCTTAGGTCTTAATTCAGATTTTGAATTATGCCATTTTTTATAATTGATTAATTTTAATTAAATCTTATTTTATTATTTCTATTTAATTTTATTTTTATTTACTTTCTCTTTTTCTAATTTATTTTGATTCATTAATTATTATTATTTATTTTTACTCTTATATTTTTATATATAATTTTTTTATTTTTTACTCTTAATTATTTATTTATTTTATTTTTATTTTTATTTTATTTTTTCCTCTCCCTTTTATTTATTTTTAATTTTATTTATTTTTAATTTTATTTTATTTTTATTATTTATATTTTTATTTTATTTTATTTTTATTTTCATTTATCATTATTATTATTATTTTTCACTATTCAATTAATTATTTTCATTTATATATTTTTAATCTTTATTATTAACCTTTTTATTCTAACAAGAAGAACCTTTTATAAACATTTTTTTCCTATTCTAAATTATTTTTAACAAGAAGATAAAATTCAATAACTGCAAGAGACACTAAAACCATTC